ATCTGTATTATACTTCATCAATATGCACTCTCAGCACTCCTGCTTCTTCTAAGCCACCACTTCGCGCGACGAAATCTGCAAGGCTACAGGGGTCAATTCAGGATGAGCGATGCGCCTGGGTCGGCCAGCTGACCAACACCTGCATGCTCGCTCGTCGACTAAGTAACTGCAGTGCACTTTGCAAATTGATGCACCTGCACTGGTTAGATTGCTCCCCTAATAGTCTATTGTCCGATAGATGATCGGCCTCTGGGTGTTTCAACAATTCCATTCTTTTGGATACCATTAGCCCCAGCTGGCAATGCTCTACTCGTGCGGTGCAGGGCTAGTATCAGTAGTATCAAATAGAGCCAGTGTGCTGAAATGCGTGATTGTGAATGCCAAATTGAATTATTGGCAGCCTCGGCCTGTCGCAGAAATTGTCGGGCGCCAATACCTTGGAGAGCTGATCATGGTCATGTACGTCGTGTCGTGTAGAGCAGTGTAAGGTTACATGCCTGTTTCGGCGACTCCTGTGTGCTTGCTTGACTTACATACGCTCAGCTCTGCAAGCCTTCGGCGATATGCCTCACGATGGGAAACAGGATACAGAGTTCAATGAAAGGATCCCCTTCGTTCATCTCAACGGCCGAGGTCGGGGAATGCCGTTTGCTCGTCCATCGTATCCCTGGCTTCGTTGGGTTCGTTGGGAGGCGTTGGCCTGGGCTCCAGCCTCCAGAGCCGTCCTGGAATTTGGGCTTGGGATTGTCTTTTGCAATTTCAAATTCTTTTTTTTCCCGCTCGCATCGTCAAATTTCCCAGAGCCCAGCCTCTCTAGCCTCGCTTTTTCAACCAATTTTCACAGGGCAAATGGCATTATGACGCCGGGCTGGGGGGTCCCACTTTGGCCCTAGGAAAGCCCTGAAAGCTGCCAAATTAGAAGGCCCCTAAAGCGAGGACGAGGAAAAGAAAATTTCTTTTCTGGCGGTCCACGGCTGTCATCATGCCCGACGGACGTCAGTGGGGATACCTGATCGTTCTATGAGGTTTCTATGCAGGAGTGGAGTACCCCCTGGGTCTGGGATGATTAAAGCCCAGCCAGATTGACAGCGCTATCCATGGCCAATTTTTCGATGCGCTGAGGCCAGCAAGCCAGTGAGGCCAGGTCCAGGGCCCGTTGCTTGGATCACAGGTCCGCATTGGTGTTCCTGAATTTAGTGGGATTACGACCTACCTTTACCTCCTGGATGGGTCAGGGCAGGCCCTGGAACGAAGCTGGGGGACGTCATTTCTAGAAGGATGGATCCTGTGTGAGTCGTACCTCTGCCGCGCTCGGGAATGAATGGGGAGAACTGGAACCCTGGAGAAGGGCGGCGAGGGCAGAGACATGCCCGTACTGCATAGTACATGGCCTAGCTGAGCGAGCTGAGGTCATCTGGGAACGGCCAGACAGGCAGAGACCGAGACAGCGACAGCGACAGCGACAGGGACAGGGACAGAGACAAGACACGGCCAGCTTGGAGCAGTCGAGACATGGACGGCACAAAGTGCAGAGATGGGTCTCGGCTTCAGCCCGAATAGGGTGCTGAGAGATGGCCACGAGGCCTGACTGTGGGGATGGCGATGCGCCGACCGCCATTTCGACTTTCAGCTGCTTCGGTCCGGTAGAGACAGCTACCGGTACACGACCAGACGGCCAGCGTACTGTACGGCGGTAGGTCGGTACCTCCTTTTTAGCCTCATCGTCAAGTTGTGCCCTGTATGTGTGAGGTCAGCACTCGCCGAGTAGAGCAGAAGAGACAGAGTACCTGTACCTGGGCTGAGTAGCGACACCTCTCACAAGTACCTACCTACTTACTTGCTGTACCTCGGATACGCAGTAATAATGAAGTGCATGGGGGACTGATGATGAATGACAATTTCGTGTTCTCTGACAGGGGCTGCATGGTGCCATGGACAAGGTGCAAAACACTCTGATGCCTGTTTCATTTGTGCAGTGCGGTGCAGTGCTGTGCTGTGTTGTGCGCCACGCGCGAAGGAGAGGGAGGAGGAAGAAAAAAGGTACATTGTCGCCCAGGCCCCGGCTGCGTCACCGCCTTCTTGACGCTGCGTTTTAGGGGATTATTTTTGTCTCCGTGTTGCGTGGGCCAGGGATGGGCCTTGTACCTCGTCCTGCAGTGCTGTCGCCCAGCTGACTCCATCATCTACTACCGCGCCCTGGTGACCCTGGTGACCCTGGTGATCAGTGGGAGTGTGAGCGTGAGTGTGGAAAAGGGTACATGGCAGCGATGTACCGATGTACCCGTACCCAATTTCCCCTCCGTCTCTCCCTTCCTTCCTTTGCGCCCACCTGCAGTTCCCAGCGGCGGTGACAATTAGTGACCCACCGTGCCCACCCCCCCTGTCCTGCCCGACCGACAAGGCTTGACAGGCCACACCCCTGCAGGCCACTCTTCTTTTCCAAGTTCTCGAAATAGGCAACCTGGAGATGGGTCGGTCCTAGACTCTCCTAGCAGCCTGCTTGCTTGTGTCAGTCAGTCATTCAGTCCGTCGGTCCTGTCAGTCCTGGCAATACATACATATAAGGCAGCCCTCCTCCCTCCACCACCTCCGGTTGTGCCTCTCGAACCACAGCATCAACACCAAACATCATCAGACAAACAGTGGCCTATCAGCTCACCATCAGGAACACTCACCAAACATACTTCGCCTCCTCAACTCAGCAACTGCTCCATATAAAGAAGACATTGCCTCCTCTTCACACTTACCAACCAACCAACCTCGCTGCCTCAGCTCTCTCTCTCTCTCTCGACAAACTTCGAGAGACATAACAACACCATCACAACCACACGACCTTCAACGTCAATGCAGTACCTATCCACCATGCCTGCCCAGCGACCTTCGCAACTCCCGCCCTGCCCTGGCCCGCCGCCCAGCCGGCCGCTACCTCCTCTACCTAAGAGAGGTTAAAAGGGATACATCACCATCTACACAGCTGTTCGCGCCTAACAGCGAACTGTCTTCGGATATCGACACATGGCAAACGGAAACATGCCTACTCTAAATCTTGCTGCGCCTTGAGAGCGCGAGGCTGCACATCCCACGAGCTCCCACTTTGATCGTCAGACCAGCTGCAATTTTCCGACGCGTCATGGTTTCACCATGCGTCGATGAGCATCAGCCCAAAAGTACGGAACAGAGAATACCATTCACTACCTGGGAAGTGGTTGGCCGGAGCCTGCTGCAAGCTCCCGTCTTACACAGTCGCACCGCAGGCTGCAGTACGATCCCACCACCGACCCTCCAATCAACCAACACACCGTCGACCACCTACCTCACCACACCCCACCACCTTTCAACACATTGCGTTTCCCAAGAGCAGGCTCAAAAGGACAAATGACGCTTCAACATCCGCAGCCTTCTCTTCAGCAATCTCGATCATGGGCGCAGACGGTCGCATCTGGTTGTACGAATATGGGAAATACCAATCTTTTTAATCGATGCTTTTGGGGTTTTGTTATTTCAGAAGCGAGACGAGCACTTGAGTTTACGAGCATTTCTTGATTTTTCATTTTCTCTCCATCGTCATCTCCTGGCTTGGCTTAGAAGAACGGGAGGTTTCCCACACTGTATCAATAGAGCATTTGTCATGGCGTCTTGAGAGAAAGAACATCTCGTCGCCGATACCCCCACGGGAAGAGCAGAGTTATTGGGAATATCATTGGGAACGGGTCGTCATGAGACCCGCGAGGCAACACCCAACGGAGCACATGGGAAACAACATTGGAATCGAACGCTTTTAGCGAGTCGCATTCTCAGGGATATATTTGGGTGCAGTCAGCTGCAATACACTACAGAAACAGATAATCGGTCAATCAATAATGCGACTGCTACTACAAAGCAATCTCTCACATCTGTCATTGTTCATGGAAAATCATCTGTGCTCCTCTTTTTTCGTCTGATCAAACAATGTCTCGTGCACGCGCCCCCTGAAATGATGAGTGATGTACATCTGGCATTTCCATCCCTTGCGGAAAGCTCTCCAGAGATCGACATTTAAAATGATATCAGCTAATCTCCCACACTTCGGCCGTCATGCAGCCAGGCAGAACTACATTCTCTACAATCGACTTAAACCCCTCCTATGTGGGCAGTCATTCTGGCATGCAAAGAAAGGGATGGCCCGTTGCGGAGGTGTAAACGTGCACATCTCGGCCGATCTCAACGCCAGCTGCGTGACTGTGCGGGACGATCTGCTGGATCTCAAACACCCGCGCGAGGTGTGTGGGCTTTCACTTGTAGAGGAAAAGTCGCGCAAGACAAGGATTGCATCATGAGAAATGTGCTGGCAGGTGCAAGGAGAGGGTCTCGAAACCCTGAAGAGTCCTGCCATGCCCTGGCAAAACCCCGGAGTGGGATGGCTGGCATGGCGATGATGGATCGATCCCCTTCTCAGTTGACGGATCAACTGCGCCGAAATCCTTGACATGTTCATGCAAATCAACAAAGTGTACTCTACAAGGCGATCGGTTAGGGCTTTAGGAAGCCATAGGCGACTCCTGAGGCTCCTCACCAGCAGCAAGGTCTTGTTTCATCCTATCTATTGATGGACAGGATTAGGCTTTAGCTTCTGGCAATCTTGAGACTAATATGCTGGCCCTGACTAAGGCGGATTGAATCTGATCTCGCTTGTGCTTGAGGTTTGTAACTTTTCATGTGTCCAAGCTTTCCCCCTGTTGCGCAAGTGGCTTACCTCGCTTATCGCTATCACCACGTGCATCACTGTGGCTGGCCGTTTCGAAACAACCGGTCTCTTTGGCGACTGCAGATCTCGATGCCGAGGTATGCTCTGATTTGCCCTACAACTCAGCGATTGGCATACCGAATGCGGTGAAAAGGGGTGGATATTCGAACTCGCCGCCCTGGGGATATCAGATCATCCATCTATCACAGACGACGAAGGCGTTGATCCCATGCGGTGAGGATACGCCGACTCGTCACTGTCTTGTGTACCCGTGAGGATGGTGCTGCAGGTCCATGTCTGGGGCCCTGCCTTCGGGCTGCCTTCTATCGATGCGGAATGCCTCGCCGTCATCACTTATCTCGCATATGCAGCCCCGGGATCTAATGCTTGGACCCTTGCTGCTAGCAGTCCGTCAGCCGTACCGGGCCGTAAGTCCTAGATGTCCCATCTTAAACAATCAGAGTGAGAATTATGCTAACGAATGGCCAGACGCGCTACCAGCCCTCTATGATACAGAGACTCAGTCGTGGATCACTGGCTTCTCGGACATAGTTACCTATCTGGGGTCACAAAACCTTGAGCATGACTTGGATGTCGACCTCACGTCCGCTCAGAAGGCCGACTCTACGCCTTACTCGGTCTTCCTAGCTACTAACGCCTCCCCTCTTGTCGCTCTATCCCTCTACGTCTCATCTGCCAACTGGGCCGGCACAACCCGACCGGCATACAGCAAGATCCTCACCTTCCCTCTAACATGGACCGAGCCAACGGCCGTCCGCTCCGCCATGGCGCAGAAGGCTGAGCACCTCGGCCTGTCCAGCCTGGACACGGACTCTGAGGCGACCTCGTCCTCCGAGTCCGGCGCGGCAGCCGCTGACGACTCGGGCTTCTTCCACATCCCTAAGAGCCTGCAGCTGCCGAAGCGTGGCGTCTCGGCGGCCCTGTCGCCCGAGCAGACGGCGCAGATCCGGCTGGATGCCGTCGCGAGCGACTGCCTCTCTGTGCTGGCCGAGCTCAAGGGCGACAAGAAGTTTCTGCTCCGCGACGGGCGGCCCACGGCGCTGGACTGCCTCGCATTTGGCTACCTGGCGCTGATGCTCGTGCCTGAGGTCCCGCGCCCTTGGCTTCAGACAGTGCTGCGGAAGCGATACGGCGGCCTATGTGCGTTTGTCGAAGAGGTGCGGAGGGACTGCTTCGGAGAAAGGGTCCTGCCCTGGTCGGTTGATAGGCCCTCAAGGACGGTCTTGAGCATTAGCTCGCGGTTCGCGCACGGTGCTATGCGTGTATTTCCAGTGTTTGGTGAGGACTGGCACAGATGGATGGTGCGCAGGAGGAAGGCAGACAGCGACAAAGGAAAGCCATGGGACGGTGGCCGGGATACCAACGCGATCATCCTCGCCGTGTGTGGTGGTTTGACCGGCGCGGCGCTTCTGGGCGGCGCGTTGCTCTACCGACATCTAATGCCGTTCGGCTCGCCCCTGTACAGATATGAGCGGGAGCGGCGAGGCCTGGCAGGGTTTGGTGCGGCGGGTTCATTCCTAGGCATATCGTCGGAGTGGATGGACTCCCAGTATAACCAGCGGTATGGTGGCGGAAACAGATCGGCGGCACCGAGAGGTGGTATTGAGGTCGACTATCAGAGCGTGCCTATCAACGATGGTGGCCATCCGCCCATAGTCGAGCTTGATGTCGAAGTTGCGGCGCAAGGCAATAACGGTGTATAATAGAATGTATAATAGTAATAAGCGCGGATTGGTGTAGCTGCGGTGGCAGGCTCCTGAATTCGAACACAAGATACCCACCTCCTGATTCGCAGACGATGGATGGTTCATCCCAAATTTCACATAAGCTTACCTATTGTGACCTATTGTGACGGTACTATAATGCTTCAAAAATCTCGTTCTTCCACATACGACCATATTCAGTAAAAAACTCGTGGTCTTGGTTCCTCCTCTGTAAGGCTGTCGTGGAGCATCTCCAAACGGAGCCGACACAGTAGCCTTGCGGGACACTGTTACTTGGAAACGGAAGAAGACCACCGACGTTCTTAGACTCTGGTTGTTTGTCAACTTTGTTGGGGGGGTTTTGATCATTTTTATTATACTCTATAAGTCAACCAAATCATTATCAACCTGACGCTTTATCTTCTATATCGTACCTACCGCCTTCAAGGTCTGGGCCGTATTCAGGACTATGCCTTTCTTCGGCTTTCTACTCGCTATGCCTGCACTTTGTTGGTGGAAGCGACAGTTGTGGTCTTCTGTAGACACCTGACATGCTTCGCGCCTTCCCCGATAGTGTTCAGGAGTTCTGCTTTCGCACCTCCCCCATCAATCTGCCTCGGAAGCATGTAGAAGCTTTGGTTCCTTCCTAGATAATATCACATAAGGCAGTCACGACTTCGCATCGGGAAACTGTGTCGTTCGAAGCAAGGTGACCGCCCCATGTTTCGTGTATATAAACCTCTTTGATCCCCAAGTCTCTTCAGATTTTCCTCTTCCTTTTCTCTTCCCTACAAACCAAAGGTGAGTCTTCCCCCCCTTTCCTTCCAATATCTTTACCTGCACCGGGGATTCTGGGTGGCGTAGGGATGGGTTACCTATTCCCATGACGTTCACCCACCCAGATTTTATGATGTATAACATCTAGATCAACCGTCAAGGCGGCGTTGCAAATCTTCTAGGTCCTGGCCTTTCCATGCCAGCGGCACGACTTTGCTTCGGCATTCTGAAAAAGCCATCCATCTCAGATAGCGTCTGTCCTTCGTGTGAATCATGCTCTGATTGTATAAACCTTCTCTTCTCCTGAGTCCATGCCATTTCCAATGTGTCTTTTGGACAGAAATAGCAGTGTTTGCGAGATCGAATCTTGGATGTCCCCGTGGTGGTCATCGTTCAGCCCAGCTAAGCCAAATTCTTTGTGAGATGTGTCCTGGTGGAGCCTTTCCGTGCCAAAAAAAAAATGCTGAACAGGGCGGATATTTGTGGCGGCATTCTGAGCAGTGAGAGCTATTAACTTTATTCAATCCAGGTGGCTTCTATGAGGCAGCTTGGTAAGGTCCAGGTAAAGTAATCCCCTACCTGGGTGAGTGTGAGTTACCTGCCAGCCTAACGCACAGGCCACATGCTTCTGGGGTGGATATAAGCTCGCGTTCTCAGAGGTAACAAACACCCTTCTTCTTTTCCTCTTCCCATCATCATAAAATCTGGGTGGGTGGACGTCGGCTTGAATTTTCCTATTGATCGCTTGCACTTTGAAAAGGCAAAGCATCAAATATTGACAGATGTACAATCTTATTGAGCAATGATGAACATCTGAATCTGAGCTCAACCTCAAGGCGAGATTGCATGCGCCTGAGGCAAATGAAAATTCATGACAGCCATGTGGGTGAGCTGAAGTCAGCCGACCTACTTTTGGCGTCAATCCTTGCAAGAGCGTGTGGTTTTATATAGATTTCAAGAACAGCAGGTCACTTTTTCGAGCCTCAGATATATATCAATTTCTGGGCCCTGTAATCCATTTCCCAGGTTTACAGGCTTTCGAGTCTGGCATCTCCTTAAAAGCTACTGAACGCTGAACTAGTAGTTGGGCGGTGATGACCAGCGAATCCTCGGTGTTGTATGTGGTTTTTATTTCCCCAATTTTTTTAAACACTTTTTTCTATAAGCAGAAGATTATTAACAGCCCCTGAATGTCAGTAATATGCTCCTTGAGTCCCAAATGATTGATACCGCTCAATGGGTGGCGAATTGAATAGATCTTGTCGTAAACTCAATTGACTATCCGCTCATGCAATCGCCTATGCTATGCCGTGTTTTTCTCCCCTTTTGAAGTTCCGGATATTTAACACTCCCTGGATGCATCTCCCTACTACTTGATCCTACAAATAATTCTTTTCCTGCCGATAGAGCCGGATCTTACACTCTATACACTATCTATTATTCGTCCTGCGCTTTGTGTCCCTCAGTTCCGCCTGATGTCGTTGATCTCATAGACCTAGATCTGCCTGATCTCTTTGCCGACCATCTCCGGTCGCTCAACTTCCCATTCATCCCGTAGAACTGCAAACGTCAGATCTGACAGCAGCAGGCTCTGTCCAAGGCTCCACACCAGCGTGATGGCGTAGAAGAAGTTCGCGTTCCCAGAGCCCGCATAGATCCACAAGTGGTAGAATGCGGGGCCGAGGAACGTTGCGTACATGATCACTGCGGCTACGAGGAATGTGTACCTCATGAGTGGGAAGACATGCCGAAATAGCGGTACCAGAGCCAGGAACAGCGAGGTATCGCTGATGCTCGGGTATGGCTTGAAGATCGAGAAAATGCCCACCAGAAGAGTGATCACGACGAGTGGCTGGCTCCGGATCCGCACGGTCAGGCCGCCAACGTAGGATGACAGGTGCAGCCAGAAGACTGCCAGGAAGAACGACCTGAAGGAGTCAAACATCTCGATGAAAAAGTACCACCAAAGTCCCACGTTCGGCGTCAGATCACTGAGCGTCAGCTGTACACCATACGTCGACGAGAGAAATTCCAACGAGCCGGTGATGAGGTACGACATCGCAAACAGCGAGGCGAGGGTTGAACCGACTAATGATACGCTACCGAGAGCGAATCGTGGTAAATAGGAGGGGTACGATGTGTCCCTTCTGTCATACGCGAGGAGAATCAAGGGCGGTAGGAGGAGTAGAGGGTACATCGATAGGTACGAGGCGAAAGAGATCGCTACCATTGCGCTGAACGGCGCTCCGGCAATAGATTTGGCGACGGCATGGAGGATGGCACAGGTTGTGAAGACCCCTGTGGACCGGCCGATACACGTTGCGATCGTGAATGGATTGAAGAGAAAGCTATTCCACGAGCTATTAGCAAGCCATTACTGCGCTTTTTTCTGATATAGACCTACACCGCAGCTACAACGAAGCCACTCCACCTCTTGTTCCGTCGCGGAGACGTAAACAGCTTGGACGACCCAGCCTCACCCGAGTCGGCAATGCTTGTCAATGCATTGGCGCTCAGGAGGTCGACGCATATATAGAGGAGGAACGTGAAGATCGGAAAGCTCGAGAAGCTCGGGAGAAGCGAGAATAGGGGCAGCAAGAGCGGTGCTTGGTGGTACACGCCGCCATCGTAAGGCGAGACGTTATGATTGTAGAGGAAGAGACCCTCTTGTACTATGAGGCCGGTCAGCACCATTGGGACAGGAAGCAAAGTTCTTGTGCTGGGCCCTTACATCTCTTGAAGCTCGTCACGGGTGTCGAGATCTCGACGCGTCCAACTAGCAGCTCTGGTAGGCCGGGGAACAGATAGAAGAGCGCCAGGCGCAAGACAGCGGCGCCCAAGTAGAGGGCCTGCGTCCTACCCAGCTTTGGCGTGCCCCCATTCATCGCTCGTCCATCGCCAGGTGAACAAGCCAAACGTGTTGAATTCGAAAGGGAGAGCGAGGCGCAACAGGTGAGGATCCGGGGCGGCGGGCAAGGTAAGGTAGGATAGAGTGCCAGGTGTCATTGGCGGCATGAGAAGACAGGGTGATACGCCAAGTTGACGCCCTGTGGCTCAGCGGCCTTCAGCTGTGGAGAAGCCCTGTAGGTAAGCTCAAGTTGAATGGGCAAATTGATACGCTAAGCCTTTACGGGAAGACAGGCTCAGCGGTCAAGGCAGGCAATAAATTTTCCAGGCCTTCGACAGAAAAAAAAGTTCGAGAGGCGCTGCCCCGCTACTCTGCAAAACCGCAGCTTCACATCGAAGATTACACAGACAATTGACCACGATGGGCCGGATAAAGAAGAAGGGCCAGGCCGGCGCGGCCAAGAATTTCGTGACTCGAACTCAGGCGGTCAAGAAGCTTCAGATCAGCCTCCCTGATTTTCGAAAGCTGTGCATTTGGAAGGGAATCTATCCTCGCGAGCCCAGGAACAAGAAGAAGGTCTCCAAGTCTGCCACCGCCTCGACTACTTTCTATTATGCGAAGGATATCCAATATCTCCTCCACGAGCCGCTATTGCAGAAGTTCAGAGAGCAAAAGGTTTTAGAGAAGAAGATCTCCAAGGCCTTGGGAAGAGGCGATGTCTCCGACGCTGCGAGATTCGAGCGCAATGCTGCCCGTCCCGAGAAGACAGGCAAGCCGAGATATACCCTCGACCATGTCATCAGAGAGCGCTACCCAACATTCATCGATGCCGTCAGGGATCTTGATGACTGCTTGTCAATGCTTTTTCTCTTCGCAAATCTTCCTTCCACCTCGACCGTTCCTGCTAAGATGATCGCCCGATGCGAAAGACTTTGTCTCGAGTTTCAGCATTACCTGATCGTCTCGCACAGTCTGCAAAAGTCATTCTTGTCGATTAAGGGAATCTACTATCAAGCAAATATTCAGGGCGAGGATGTTCTCTGGCTGGTTCCGTACAAGTTTAATCAGCGAGTTGTTGGCGATGTCGATTTCCGAATTATGGGCACCTTCATCGAGTTCTACATGACTCTACTAGGCTTTGTCAACTTCCGACTGTATACTTCCCTTGGGCTCAAGTATCCCCCGAAATTTGACCAGAGCAAAGATGACCAGGCAGGCGAATTGGGCGCTTTCACTCTAGAGGGTATCAACATCGCTGCGAAGGAGGACGAGCCCAAACAGCTAACAAACGGCGAGGCTGAGCGTGGACCGGATCCCAAAGTGCAAGCGGAGATCAACAAGCTGGTTCGACAAATGAAGGAGTCCGAGTCGAATGGCGACAGCAAGGCCTCGGGAGAGAGGAACGGCGCTGACGCTGATGGCGAGGATGCACCGGCCACGGACGCCATTGACAAGTTTGAGCCTGCAGCTCCGGGAGGCGACATCTTACCGCAGCCATCATACAGCACAAGCGATCCTGCCGCTCTATTTTCAAAGTGTACATTTTTCCTCGGTCGTGAAACCCCTCGTCAGCCATTGGAGTTCATCTTGAGGTCCTTCGGCTGTAAGCGAATTGGTTGGGATGCTGTGCTGGGCGAAGGCGCATACACCACCAATGAGCTCGACCCATCTATCACACATCAAATCGTCGATCGTCCAATGATCCAGGCGGCTGTGGAAGCAGATGGCGACGGTGAAGACAACCAGACTTCGCAAAAGCTAGCTCCGAATCAAAGAATTCCGGGTCGCATTTATGTGCAGCCTCAGTGGGTGTGGGACAGCATAAATGATGAGGAGCTAAAAGATACCAACTTATATGCACCGGGAGCACAGCTGCCACCCCATCTGAGTCCGTTTGTCCAGCCTGTTCAAGGACAGTACGATCCGACCATCTCGCTGGAGGAACAGCAGACAGAGGCAGAGGCTCTCGAAGCCGATGAAGAGCTTGAAGAGAAGGACAAGGATGACCTCGCTGTCAAAGCAATTGACGAGTCTGCTAATGACATGGACGTTGCTGAGTCGGAAGAGGATGATGAGAGCGATGAGGATGATAACGGTTCTTTTGGAGGCTTCTCAGACAATGAAGATGCCGAAGAGGAATCGGAGGACGAGGCGATGCAGCGGCAGAGAGAGCTGGAGGCTGAACTGACTGGAAAGTCCGTCAAGGCGAAGGCAGAGAATCCCAAGGATAAGGCAAAGGCAGAAGCTCGCAAAGAACTGGCAAGAAGGGCGAAGGAAGAAGCAGAGGATCTCGAGCGCGCCAAGGGTATGCTAAGCAAGAAGAAGAGGAAGCTGTTTGAGCAGATGATCTATACGAATACAAAGAAGAGTGCCGAGGACGAGAAGCTCCGGGCTAAGAGGAGAAGGATCGAAAAGCAGAAGGGCAAAGGGAAACAAGCATAATTAGATAGGGACCTACGATAGGAGTTCAAGGATACCAATGAAATGATTTGCCTGTATGTTAAGGTCTCTCCTTGCTACGAAGCCTAAGTAGTCAATTTTAGAAGCCGTGTTGTGATAATGTCTTAGAATATTTGCCGTAGTGCTGAGTACCTTATGGCGTTCACTCCAATTGTCCGACAGGTGCCTGCCCCACCATAAAAAGTCACGGCCACCAAAGCATTTCCAACCTCGTCCGCGTCACTAACGCAGCGGCCATGGCACAGGCGAATGACGAGGGGGAATGGGACAAGGATACGGATGAAGTAAACTCTCTTGATTCTGATGAGCTTTACGAGACGAGACCGAATCGCTGGAAAGGCCAGCCATCGAGCTGGACCACCATCACTGAACAGGACCGCCTCACTTACTCCGCCTTTGAAGAGTTGAGGAATCGGGATCTTGCGATTCACCTTTATAATGCATCTGCACTCAAGCGAGTTACTCACTCGCAACACGGCCCCGCGCCGATCCCCGGAGAGGTTTGACATAGCTCCAGCAATTGATGTGTCCGTCGAAATACTAATGCTATGAATAGGACATCGATGTGCACACGGGCGAGCCGGTAGAGAAACATGACTGGGTCCCGCCGCAGTCGTGGACGGCATGGCCATTGCGAGCGGACCTGGTGCCAAATGATGATTTTATGAAGAGAACAGAGGATGAAGATGACACATTGACGTATCGTCGTTACGAAAGCAACATGCCTAGCACCAATCTTGAGGAGTCAATATCAGCCACTGTCCTCAAAATTGCCAAACAGAAATTCCTTAACAGGGATCTTCGCGAAAAGCTGACGACCTCCGAATCATTAACGGACGATGCACCCATGGTTAAAAGTGATTTTGTTTCCTCCAATGATGGTTCGGAGTATGAAGAAGATATGTCTGAAGATGGAAGCGACAAACAGTCGGACGTCGGGAACACGAAAAGTTCCAAACGGTCGAAGAAGTTTGAGCGGTCCTTCTCTCCTATAGTCTCAACAAATGATGATTTGTCTTATGAGATCATCCGTCCATCAGCAAGAATGATCCTTGAGAAGCTGGACAAGACACTGACCATCCTCCATAACGCACGTGTCGCCGCCCTGAGGTACGATGCAGAGACATCGGCTTCAGAAGACGACGACGATGCCACTCCCCCACGAGGCCGACTCCGCTCCTCATCGCGAGGAGCTAAGCGAGGCTCGGTCAGCATTCCACCGGAATATGAGCACAATACAGAGAGCGAGGGACGCAGAAGAAACAAGAAAGGTGCTGGTAGGCCGAGGAAGAAAAACCCACAGCCGAGGGAGGGAGAGACACATCGAGAGTTCTTGGTCAGGATTGCACGCGAGCAACACAAGCGAATCCCTACTTTCTCCGACGAGGAATGTGATACTGCGGCTACGTCAACAAACTCACGGAAGAAAGAGTCAGTAAGGAAATCAAAAAAATCTCGCAGCAGAAGCCGTAACCGGAGACAGAGCCTAACCCCATCAAGACGGAATGATGACTCATTCAAGATGGAACATACCTCGCAATGGAAGTTGCGAGACTGGAGCGATGTCATCGGAGCTGCTAGCCTGGCTGGGTTTTCTCCTGCAGTGCTCGCGCGTGCTACGGAGCGATGTGTTGACTTGTTCGGCGAAGGCCTGGTGCTTCACACACTGAATGAGACCGAAGCAGGCGCCGAATCCGGCGTCATATCCACGCGGTTCGAACCCGGAGTTGCAGCACCATCATCTCCGAGTCAAAGTGACGACTTGAGTGATGATCTCAAGCGAGCACGGGCGATGAGCCGTCAGTCGAGCATGGCACCCTCAGTCTCATCCTCCTCGGATTCTGATGATGAACTCAAAATTGAGGAAAGGGACGATGTTGTTGCCAAGAGGGAACGAGCACGGAGCCGTTCAGTGACACCGTCGGTAGCAAGGTTTTATTGCACACATACTGTCTGTAAAAGGGCTATACAAGGGTTTAGCAGGCGAAACAATCTGGTCAGGCATATGAATCTAGTCCATGGGGAAGTTTTGGGAGACCAGGTCGAGGGGGACGAAAGTCCAGATGAGCTGTATGGTGCCGTGCACGTCGATGGCTTCCTTAAGCCCATCAAGCCGAGACCAGGGTGGAGATCTGAGGATGTCAGGAAAAGAAGCCGGTCGAGGAAGCGATCAAGAGACGCCCATGAGGAGCTGGAAATTACTAGCGATGACTAGGTCTGTCAACGGAAATGACATTAATGAGTCTGTAGGATAGTTTACGCAGTACTATTCATTGCGATACCCGTTTTGGTAGCTCTAGATTATTAAAGGTCTCATGCATCCCCGAATTGCCTCGCTACCTCCTTTGCAAAGTCCCCGATGGTGTCAAATTTCCACTCGAATCCCACCTTCCCTTTGGCCAGTAGTTCCTCGTAGTTACCACCCACGCCATAGCCCTCCTTCTTGTCGCCTCCACGAGCGATCCATACGCTCCTTAGTCCTATCTCCTTCGCTGGGACGTGATCCGCGGTCAAACTTCTTGCAACGTGTAGCAAGTCACCCTTCTCGAAATCGATGTCAAGCTCCTTCTTTGCATGCTCGAACAGGTACTGAAAGTTATTATGGCTTGGCTTGTAACTACCAATATTCTCGGCCGTATAGATAGCGTCGAATTCCACGGGCGCTAGATTGTCCGCCACTGTCGCTTTGATATTTTCATTGTTGACGTTGCTCAGAATGATCAACTTGAAGTGATTCTTGAGAATCTCCAGGCCAGCCACCGTGTCTGGGAAGGCGGACCATTTGCGCGGCCCTGCGCCCACTGCTTCAGCTACTGACTCCGGGATAGACACGCCGAGCTCGGCAGCCAGTTTCTTTGCGGCTGTCGCGAGGTTGATGTCGTAGCGCAGCTTGGGCTGTTCTTCCTGAATCTCATCGGAGAGGTCGTTGAAGCGCTGGACTGCGAGATTGGGGTTCTTGGAGTGTGCATGGTCTGAAGGTAGCTGAGACACAATTGGCTCCAGGGCTTGCTCCAGTCCGCCCTCCCAATTTATAAGAGTGCCATAACAATCAAAGGAGAGAGCCTTGAAGCTGGTAAAAGGTTTGTCGTTGCTCATTTTCAGCTCCTATGTAAACACTGCGGTCAAAAATATAGACAATATCTTCAGCGAATACAGAAAGTGGAAGAGATGAGTTCACTCTGCTTCTAGCAATCCAATTTTCTCGAGTAAATAACTCTCTTATATATACCCTGCTCCTTGATCTCATCCGACAGTGAGGCGAATTGTCATGTTGGCGAGCCGTAATAAGATCGCACATTGACACCTAGCATCGATTTGCAGTGCACCTCAGTGCGGGGCCAAGGGCGTGGATGACGACGGCTGCCGGACTTCGTCATGTCGGCGAAGGATCTGTCGATTTCTGATCCACGCAGCACGCCTTTCCAAGCAACTTTCCTACTCGCATAAGCAGCTGTCATTTTTTGCTATTTCTAACCCTTAATTGTGACCTAAGCCTCCCTGGAGCGAATTGGAAGGTTATGCCGAAATATGTTCAGTCCCACAATTAGGTATTAGCTAAAAATACCTACCTAGGTATAGGTAATGCATCACTTCGACTGGAAAGTGGTACCTGAACCCGGGAGGCGGAAGAATCTAGACCAATCAGAGAACATGGATTTTCAGACATCATCCCGTCTACCAAGGTTGAGCAGGTCATTGACATAGGCTGCGAACCAACTCGAAAGGTTGCTTTTTTGCGACGTTCATATAGGATGCAATCATGAAGATTGATATCATCCAATTGGATTATTGCTTTCTCCTCCCAGGTGAGCGGATGAGCTTGTGATTGCAATATGTTGCGTCTTTCGTCAAAGTGTCCTAGAGAGAATGAAAGTCGTATTAATTGGGTAATCTCCCACCATATCCTTTTAGATATTTGGGCATCATACTCTCTGTGTGATGGATCTCAGTCGGGGTGGATTGAGTATGGAGAGATATTTTGTGAAGGCAAAGAGCGTTGTGGTTAGATCATTAGGCAGAGAGGACTGACGGTCAAGGGTTGCTGAGGAGATCCTGCTGCTGACATGAGCAAGATGATGCCGGCCGTTTAAATACCCAGCAAGATGAATTTTAAAGCCGTCGTTAAAACCGATTGTTGGATGATTGGTAAAGGGGAAAAAACGTATTGCGAATACCACAGAAGGCGTGCTTACTTTGCCCTGATGTACTTCCCAAAAGGACTGAGCAATGATGAAGCTTAGATACATTCTATTCGCAGCAGCATACAGCCTACGAAGAAAAAAAAACCTTTTGTAAACAATCCAGACTATGCTCTAGAACAGGAATTATTAGGGGCAAAAAAATAAAAACAAAGCCTTGCAGGAGTGCTAAGCGCCATCCCGGACCCCCAAATACAGGCGCCGCATTTTCTGCTGTTCAGGATTCTGCTTCACACTCCCCGGGTTCGAACACCGAACTTGAAGAAGTTCTTCGATGCTCATCACCACTTGACCAGGCTTGTTGATATGTGGTAACTTTAAAAACCATTATGTGGGCTCTACCAGTTCCCCGGACTGGTGGGCACGGATCGTGGCTGCCTTGCTACCTAATATTTTGATGTATGCCTGAGGTACCCTGCAGCCTGCGAATTGGAAGATCATAAACACATCGATCTGGGCAAGGCTATCCTTTTCTCGTTTTATTTGACTACGGTCTTCCGTTGCCATATCTTGAAGTCACAGGAGTTCAATCAAGCCAACAGTCGCTGAGGTCAGTCAATACGTACAACGATATCCTGCTAGAGAGCTCGAGGCGAAACCCTGCAATCCAACACATACTACACTTCACCATTTGAACAGTTTCATTGTGCTAATTACATAAGTTCGATATCTGGTTATGTATCATTCTTCCTACACATCGAGCTACCCTGGGTGATGTGAGACATGTCTTGGCTCACATGCCCACACAAGCAATGAGGTTGCCTCGATACGACATATGCGAAGCTACAGACGATTCTACAGTTCTCACCCGAATATGTACTCAGGATACAAGCTTTATCTAAGGTTCGAATCCCTTCATGGCTTAGGACGGATCGGCAGGTCGAAGAAGTTTTTGTGACATCATTCACATTGGCGATATCCTCCATGAGATGACCGAACTTCGTGACACCATCTTCGATTGCCTGCTTGAGAGATTTCTTGTTCTTACGAGCCTTCCTCTTCACCAGACGCGCCAGGTTGGCGGGTTTCTTGATGGTGAGGGGAGGTCGAACCCGCTCTATATGTCACACATGCATTAGCTTTCTAGATCCTTTACAAGTGGTATTGTGAGACAGAATGTACTACACTTACTTCGATTCTTCTTGTCGATCCAAAACCACATGGTATGGAAAATCTCTCCAATGCGGACTTGGTCGGAAACGTATGTCTCCATGACAAAGTGTCGAAGTTTAAAGAGCGCAGGGCGATCTTCCTTGTGAGAGAGACGGATTGGATGCAGCGGGCGGCCGGAATCATTGAATCGGATCCATTCGTCTACCAGTCTGTGGAGCAGGCAAACAAGACTATCGGTTGCGACTGGTGGTGAGCCTTTGGTCTCCCAGGAACGCCTTTCATCTCGGCGGGCGTTGGTGTACATGGTGATGATCGCGCGCACAAGGTTTCCATGCTTTCTATCGCCTCTTAATTTCTCAATCGAGAAGATGCTACTCAGCGTCTTCTCCAGACCATAGTAGGCATCTTGAATGAAATTTCTGGCCGCGTTCATGGGCGGCCATACATCCTGTAGAATGCACAGAGCCTGGAAGATGACGATCAGGTTTTTGATGACGATGATCTTGAGTGGAGGAGGGCCGAGTAGTGTATCGTGCGAGGCAAGTGTCGGGCAAAGCAGAACATCAGTCATAGGACCCAGATGTATTTGGAGAGCCCTGAAACCTTCAATCTGAAAGATATCTTCGACTGATCCGTTGGGGACGACCACCTTCAAACGGCCGGGGCGATTCCATCCCTCGCTGTAGTACAGCACGACATCCTGAGTACCGCTTGTTTTCGTTTCGGGGTCCATGTTGATGATGCCGTTGCAGAGGGTAGTAAACGAGGTAATTACGGTAAGGTAAGGTGCAAGGAATATTGAGAGAGCGTTGCTACTAGTTGCAGACCGTTGCTTACCGTTGTGTTGGGTAGAAAGACCTTGGGATGAATATCAGTCGTCAGGGGCAATGAAGGGGGAAGTGAGTGGGCAGGTGAGACGAATCTCGAGGGGGGCCAGCACGCTTTCACCTCACAGCCACTTATGACGAGAAATCAGAAAGCAACGGCGCGTAAATTCCAGCCACAGGAGGAAGAATTGTTTCCAAACTGCTGATGCCATTTCAATGGGTTAAGAAAAACTATTACGGCATTCGGGTATCAAAGTACACAATAAGCCTACAACCTGGGGCACGAATCCTCAAATCTAGTCAAACCATTGCTCCCTCGCGCCATGCAAACCGCCAGACATTAGAGTTCCTTCTACCAACTATAGAATTTCAAGTTACGAGTCCAACTCAATTAAGCCGTGGGCTTTTCCTTTTCGAAACACTTTGGGAGAATTCAGTAGGCGGCACATTCTCCCTTCCTCCAAGAACGACTGCGCCTTTCGTCTTCCCATGTTTGTGTCGAGATGTACTCTTCTTAAAGAGAGGGACAGTGTTCTCATTCAGTGTCGACATCACAGACATGGTGCTGGCTGAAGGATCAAACATCAACGATCCGGTAGTCAAGTTAGGATTCACCTCGCGGAGAGACATGCTCAGAGGGTTGCGCTCTAAGCCCAGGCCAGAAGACGTTGGTCGAGACGGTGATCTTGCCCTGTCCGATGTATCAAAGTCGTTGAAGATCGGCTGGGTTGCCTTGCTTGGCGACGGAACGTCTGGCACGCTGCCAATGAGGGTTTGGTGAGCTGCCGTTCGCGGAAGTTCAGTCGGATACTGATACTGGATTTTTGCGGGAGTATCGCCGGTCGGTTCATACTCTCGAAGGATGGTGCTTGAGATGTCTTCGCGCAGGGTCGCAAGGGGTTGCCGGAAATCCTCCTCTATGGGGTCAAGATGCTCACGCAGCTTCATGGTGTCAGCATCCATCGCATCTCCGAGATCCTTGACCCGTTCGTAGGTGGCCTTGGAATCGGCTGAGATGTTGCCAAACGATGTCTCGACCGTAGTTGACAGCTGTTGCAAAGACTCATCATGCTGAGCATGGTGTTGACTATTGTGGGATCGAGCATGGGTGACAAAATCGTCTAGATCCTTCATCTGGACGTCCAGATCTCTTAACTGCTCGTTAACAACACGAACGGTTTCAGCATGCACAGACTTGGTGGTGGTTTGAATTGAGCTGCTATGGCCGTTTGCCACCTATTCCAAAGTCAGTACATCTCTCAAAATAACATGCCAGGTAACTTACAGTCCAATCGTCCTTCAATTTCGTTTTGAGGGCGTCGCGTGATTTGGTCACATCATCCAAGAACCGAGACTCCTTGGAGTCCCAACCATCCATGGCTTGGGAGTATTTCGTGACTTCTCCTTGGAATTCGGTGTTTGAGTCCAGAATAGTATCTTGAATCAGTGCAGTCCGGCTAGCAAGACGAGACTCCTGAATCTCGGCCTGGGCATTGATGAGGCTGGTTATCTGTGCCAATAGTTTCTGTCGATCCTCAGCAGCCTGTCTCCTTTCTTCGCTAACAACATCCTGAATCCGCGTCGATATCGAAGCATTTGACTGAACCATGTTTTCGCTTGCTCCTTCAAGCTGTCGTCGAAGGCTTTCTGATTCGCTCCGCTGCACGCTAATATGACGGAGCAACTCATCGAAGATCGACTTGCAGTCTTTCCCAAGAGAGCTGTACGAAGAATGCAGCTGATTGTGGAATGTGCTCAGTTCGCTAAGCACATCTTCAGCGATTCTTTCCGCGGCTGTTGCGATAGTATGGAGGCTTTCACCGACACGCTCCTTGATGTTGTCTCGGACAACTTTGATCTCCTCAAGAACATTGTCCATCTCATCTTTTGACTTGTCTTTCTGCTCAGCAAGCACCTTCTTTGATCTCATGAATTGATTAAGATTCTCGTCGAGCAGAGATTGCGTGGAAGAGAGCTTCTTTAGTTCTTCCTGGACGAAGTTCTGCATCCTCTGAGAGATATTGGAGATATGGTCTGCTTGGCCCTTCTGGAACTCTTGTATGCGGTTCTCGACAAGCTCAGTAATATCAGCCACCTGTGCTTGGGACATGCTCCATGTGCTTCTGTTCAGGCTTTGTAGGTCCGACTTCCTTTTATTCTTGGCTCGGAGACCTTCAACATCCCCAACCGTCTTCCCCAGTGTCGTGATTAGCTCTCCACCAATGGCACTCAATTTCTGCTCAGTCTCCTGGTGTGCTTTCCTCACTAGTGTCTCTTCGGCTAGAGTCTTACGGGTTGCAGCAAGGACAAGCTCAGTTTGGTCGAGCACTTCTTTTGTTTCATCGAGCTGTGCCTTGGTTCCGTCATGATCCTTCTTCAACCCCATAAAGCTCGTCGTCAGAGAGAAAAGTTCTTGTACCTTGTTCCGAAGATTGTTCTCTAGCATCTCGAGCTTCGTTGCCTGTTCTTCCGCAAGAATTCGTCGAGACTCGCTTTGTACCGTCATCTCCTCGTATGCTTCATTGGACAGGTAGACACCACTGCGTTGTCTGGTGACAATAAGCTCGCTCTTGAGCTTCTCAATCTCTGCCGTGAATTCTTTCAATAACGTCTTCTTGTTAATGACTTGGTTGATTTGAGGCTTATTGCGGATGTTTTTGGCACGGAAAGCATAATCAAGAGTCGAAATGGTCTCTTCGAGGTTGCTCTTGGCTGGCGAAATGGTCGCGATGATGCAGGTCTTGGTCCGCCCTCCCAAGGAATCTTGAAGCAACCGGGTGAGCTTCGATTCTCTGTATGGGATATGGGAGCTTCGGTCCACCAGCGCATTGATGACTCGGCCTAGCGTGAGCAAACTCTTGTTGATCAGACCAGCCTCCGCCGCGCGCTTGTTCTCTGCTCCCGATCGTTGAATGTTCTCGCTACCCGCCAGATCTACTAAGTTCAACTTTCCCAAGCTGAGATAGTCTTCTGCACCATTCTCGCCTGGTTTCTTGACATGCACCGTGATAGTAAAGACGGTATGACTGCGACTGCTGAGATCATTGCACTTCGTGGCAGCAACTTGTCGCCTCACACTGCCTTCTTGAAGGCGTTTGATTCCGTCTGCGGCGCTCAAGATGTGACGTTCTTCCACGCCTTGAACAACAGTGGTCGCGTGTCCCTTGCGTGACGTGTCGTCGAAGATCTTCAACTTCACGCCGTCTTCCGGAGAAAGAAGATCTCGTAGCTCCTCGTTGTACAACTCAATGAAGGAACACCGGACGCAGTTTTCAGTGTCGTCACCTTCTAACTTGTTGAAGAGGGTCTGGAGAACTCGAGGTATGATACCTGCGGCATCAGACAGAAAGCCCAGCCTCTCGGTCATGTCGCCGGACATTGTGTAAGTCTTTCCAGTGCCAGTCTGTCCATAGGCAAAGATGGTGCAGTTGTATCCGGCTAGCATCTGGAGGCCAAGTTAATAAAATGTCCACAACAAGAGGCTTCAATCCATACTTCATCTAAAATTGGCTTGACCACATCGTCAAAGATCATGCTCTGGTCTGCCGCCGGCGAGAAGACGCGGTCAAAGGTGTACGTCTTGTTGCTCAGCGCATTTGGACCCATAGAGAGCCCGACAGCTTTCCCTTTTACGCCGTCCGAGGTAACGACAACAGCGCTGTTTTCCTTGACCTCTCGCTCGTTGCGTCCTCTACACCTGACCACGACATTTATGTTTGTCTCTTCGCCGACGTCGTCCTCAAAATCGCGTTCTTTACGCTTGGTGCCTTGCGTCGCCGTCGTCGCGACAGACACCAGAGACTCGGCCGGGGAGATGGCGCCATTTCGGTCGATGCGTGAAGCCATAGATGTATTCTGCGGATATCTAATCGTGGAGGCGCGCGTCCCTTGACGTACACTTGCTCGCCCAATGGCGCCAGACCGGACGCTCGAGGTCATGATCGAGGATTGAGTGCCCCTCCTCGGGGGAGCTTTTCGTTTGGTCTCCAGCTTGAAAGGTGTATCGAGGAACAATTAGGTAAACAAAAGCTGGTCAATGGAGTCTGACAATATTCCACTCTAAGTAAACGAAAGTGCACACTTCTTGTTTGACCCAGTGTAAGCACCACGGACTGCTTTTTTACACTCTTTGGCGATGTTGAAATGGTGGTGGTGATATGGATGTTGTGGAATGCCGGGACAAGGACATGGGCTTGCTTGCTTGGTGGTGGCAGGGGACAGGCTAAACGGCATGGCGTCCGTGTCAATTGTCAACAGATGCGGGTGTGGTCCGTGCACATTGCTCTGGCAACCACCAAGCAAGGAGCACAAAAGGTACCACCACAGCGCAGCGTGGCCTGCAGCCTTGCAGCTGTGGGGTCTGTCTAGTGCGCTGTTTAGTGGACGGCATGCTATTACTGCCTGCCGGCATGACGTCTCAGGCTGCCCCTCAGGTCCCTTGAGGCCCCTCATCATCATCAGCTGCCATCCGTTCCGCATCACGGGGCTGCATTGCGACTCACCCAAGCTGACCAGTCCTTTGTCCGTGGTCTGCAACCTGGTGCCGTTGCTGATGGGATCTCAGCTTTGCTTCCATTGCTTCCTGCACCGAGACATCTAGTCTTTCTTGCAACAATTCTTCGTTTGTAAAGCCCTGTGCCTTGTGCGTTACAGAGACCGAAACGATGGCGTCGCTCTTCACGGCACAGCTACATCCCGGCCGAGCGTTAGGGATTCTGGGTATGGGCAAGCTGCAGATCTTCTATGCATAATACATGTCTGACAATCTATTCGTAGTGCTCGGAGCTTCGCTGCACGATATCCTCACGCGTCTTAAGGCTGAACCGCAGCGATTCCCCAAGCTCGACCTCGTCTATTCGCCCACAAAGCCAGTCGAGGAGCCCGTGACATTGAATCTCCCGGCAAACGGCATTCGCCTACGGTTCGATGGACCGGAGCAGCGTCTCCGGCTTATCGAAGTCATCGACTTTACAAAGAATCACATCACATTCAAGGAGCAGAACAAGGAACGAGACCTAGTCCGGCCAGCAAACGCATCATCATCTCCCCGGCCGGGCGAACCTTCGGGAGGACCGACGTTTAGGCACATATATCAGCGATTCTTAGGGCCTACATATGATGGAGAATTCGTCCCTAGCCCGGACGTCGACAAGAATGATGCAGGAACCTACGTGCTGTCTTACCCTGGTGTCGCATTTACATTTCCCATGGCCCGATCCGCCTATACGCCGTCAAAGGATGTTGTATCCCTGCTATCATCTGCAAACAACCAAATAGCGACCTCCATGGCCGTTTTCTCAGGCGAGTCTTGGGCACAAGCGTGCGACCAGCTATGGACGGAGATCCTCCCGAGCATCAAGACCTTCACTCCGCTTGCTAAGGGCAAGGATGTCTGTCCAGATGAGATCTCGCTCGTTAGAATACACGGCGGTGGAAGACTTCAACTTTTCCGCAAGTGGACCAGCAATTCCATGTGGATTACTCTGGGAGATACAACACCGCAGGAGCTAGTTGCTGAGTTGGGTCCGCCGGATGCAATTTTTCGCAAAAACGACCAACGCATGTATATTCACAAAATTCGCACTGCGAGCAGTAGTAGATCGAGGGCGAACGGCAACGAGTTCAAGCGCCAGGATGATCTGACTGATACCGACCAGTCTTCTGCGCACACGACGTCCGATGACTCGGGCGATGACGAAGCTATCGAAGACGAGTTCGTCGGAAATGTATCAGGAGAATGCTTCTATAATTATTTCTACCTCGGTTTTGATGTCCTCATCTCAACACCTACAACCCCATCCCTTCCACCGCCATCACAAAACGGGAACGTCACGTTTCCCGAACGCGCGTTCAAGGCTGAGTCACCAGACCGCCTGGTCACAACGAAGTTAGTATTACATGGCAACGTTCCCGGCTCATATCCATTCAACAGACACCGACGAAGTCGCTGGGAAATTTCTTACTTGGATCCTTCCGTGAACTCAGAGACTCCATTTTCCGAGGCGGAAAAATGTCTACACACGGAATGGAAGTCCATCTACGCCTCGGAAGAGGATGCCCGCCAAAGACAACGGGGAATGGTCCTTAATAGGGGCTGGGGCGATAGCCCTGGCAGTAGCGTCGAGCTGCTTGGTGGATGGGAAGAGAGCGGGGGAGCTGCGCCCGGCTTAGGCGGCAAGAACTTTGATGGGAGTGAAGACTCGACTACGACGCTGTACGGCTTCCCAGGTCTGGTGTTTGAGGTGTTGAGGAATGGTTTTGTCAGTGCACTGACTGTGTTTTGAATCAACAAGGATTTTGTAAGGCGTTATGGTTCGAACGTAGCATGAGAGGCTCCGATGATTACGGTAAATAAGGTGAATAGAAATCTATAAATACCCTACTGAGATGCAATGTCTATGAGAGACAAATACATGTTCTTATTATGACCAAGCCCGTATCTTGAAGTGTTTTAAGGGTGCACATTTTGATTCTGATATTAGTGATTCTTTAAAGCGGCGCATTGAATAGGGAAGTTAATATATCGCAAGGCAAGCGCTGGCTACCATCTGTTGGAGTCACAGCTCTTGTCTTTCTCTACATGCTACTACCTTAGAAATACTATTTAGAAGAACCTCCAAATGGAGTCCGCCGCTGTCCTTCTCTTAAAGTTTCTATACCAATTACACAACGGATACATGATCGCCATTGCCAAGCCCCAAGTTCCCCAGTATCCCCAGAGCGAAGTCACCGCAGACATTGGCTCGCCCGTTATCGGATGAGGGATATCCGTGGCATGGCCAAAGAGGGCTACGACCACAGAAGTCAAGGCCATCAACAGGATGAGATGAACAATGTAGAAGAACAACGAAGATGTACCAAATGCTAAGAGGATAGCAAATCGCGACGTAATACGCGCTGGGACCACCTCGAACACCGCTAACATGATCAGATTTCCTGCCATAGTCGAAGCCCAGAAGGCTACGTCTGGTGGGTACTTGATAATGTAGAAGAATGATGCTGCTGAAACAAGATATGGATTGCGGTCCGTGTTCTCTTGCTCAGGGGTATGGAGGCAGTTCTCTGATAAATTCCCGAAGTGAAAGAGACGGGTACCAACAAACATGAGAGCAAATAGAACGCCGGATCCAGCAGTAGCAGGACTTATTGTCGTGGATTTCCAAGGCCGTGCCGTGACGATGCGGCCGTAAAGAATGCCTAATAGTGCGAACGAGAGCCAAGCCATGGGAGGGAATTCAGAAGTGACACGCGCAATTTCGACTGGGTAAAACCATATTCGGATAGCAACATTCAAGGTCGTGGCGACTGATTTGCCATCGTTCTTGGTGCAGTAGCCGTTGTTTGGCGAAAGCCAAATGTTCCACCAGATAGTGATGAGCGCCAATATGACCAAGAGGACGTTGTGGATATGCCATGAGATTGCTGTAGCTCGAGCCTCACATTTTGTGAGACTTCTGTTCTCTCCTGCGCTACTCTCGAGCAGTAGCTGGGTCTCATCGTTGGCCTTATTGTCAGGAAGCCATGGCAGTATTACTGTCTCTAGAGCCGATTCACTTCGAACAAAGATCAAGCAGAGGATGCCAGAAATCAGATAATCAACGGCCAGAGCCCAGAGGATAAGATTCTGGAACCAGGTTTGCCCACCAGAAAGGCCAAGACCCATAATAACAGAGACGAGTGTCAGGACTATGGCCCGAGAGACGAAATGTTTGGTCATCTGCCAGTCCGTCCACCCAAGCCTGACCCGAGACCGGCTAAAGTAGACGACGCCTATTCCAAGGACGAAGGCAAAGCCAGGCGCACAAAGATGAGAGAATGTCCGGGTGACGTAGCCGATGAGAGGGCTCCAGCCATAGACAATAGCACCATCATTTTCCCCATGCCTTGCCGTTCCGTGAGGCCAGGCGTTTAGGAACAGCGATGTATGATCAAGCGCCATCATTGGCATCAGAATTCCTCGCAAGAGATCAAACGCTACTATCCTGGCTGGCAACTTCACAGGCGAATTGGAAATAGAAGCGTGCTCGTCCTGGGGATCGTGATAGTCATTGTTTGGAATAGAGCCATACTCGGTCCTTGAAGTCGCTTCACGGACGTCATCTCTACCCTGGGAGACGAAGCTAGACTTCCGAACTGCAGCGTCCACGGTGGGCGTCGAACTGCCCCCCATCACTTCTACACCAATAGAGTACGTAGATGATAATGAATCTGGAGGTTGGAATTAGATTGGCACAAGTAACTCGGCATCTTATGGGAAGGAGGGAAGGAAGCTTTGGATAAAATAAAAAATGTAAGCAGAGGTTGTTGAAATGGAAGAACCCTAACAGTTAGGTAGCCCAATTACGGGGTACCCAGGTAGGCTAGTCCCCCCAATCCTTCATGCGCGGAATCCTCCTGACCAGCGTAATGGAGCTCTAAGTCAATTGAGATAAGGCTCCTCAGAAAGTCAAACAAGGCAACTCAATTGAATCTATCGAGTACAATTAATGGAACTCAGAATGGTCCGATCAAGACCTCAGACGCTAAATAACAGCTGCCGAAAGGGCTGGCCTGCTCAAACTCTCGTTGATGGCTATTTTCAACCTCCCGCTGTTGATTCAAGAGCACATTATTAGCCACACCAATGCTATCCGACTGTCAATTAATCACTCTCAACAGACATACTATCTACGATAAATATTCTCTATCTGATACGCTACGATGTAGGAAAGGTACTTCTTGCATTATATATCTAGCATCAGGGCTTAGCACGGGACGAAGGATATCCTACTCTATCTCATCTTTTATCAGTGAAAGGTCCTAGCCGTACTAGGGTGTTGTCTTACGCGTAATTCTCCAGTCCATAAAAGGAAGAGGCAGGCAGCAACGAAGACCTCTCAGGGGCACCGTTTTCGAGCCTTCGTCTCAGAGTCTATTGGTTCTGCTTCTAGGATAGTGTATTGGACCAGCGTACGCATCTTGACACTACCTGCACAAGGACCAAGCAATGGGACGCATAACCAGGAATTTCTTAGGAGCTACAGAAATTGAGATCATGAAGGGGATGCAAAGAGACATTCTTGGACTCGTTGAATATGAAAAGAGCTTGTAGTGATGGGCAGAGCTGGACATACTGTATGCGTACAACAAGCTTGGGGAAATCCACATGTGTTCAAGTCTGTTTGTGACAACAGAAATTTGCGTATTCAGAAGCGCAAGGTATGGGCTGTCGCTTTCAGGAAATAAACTTGACACGGAAGCCTTAGTGAGCCATTTTTATTGATACGTAGGCTTAGTAGAGACAGGAGCTAAACCCCATGATGTGTCGATTCTTATCATATCTCTTCTGGTTCCTTCTTTCTCAGCTTGACACCATACTGTACAGGCGGTATGACAGAAAAGTCATTGTATTCGTAGATGGGTCGGCCTCCGGTGTATGTTTGACCTTCCTTCTCCAATGTCAAGTCATAGTTCAAGAGCAACTTAGCGAGCAGCAACTTGATCTGGTTTACAGCAAGAAATCTACCTGGACACGCTTGGCTACCCAGCCCAAAGCCGAGAGAGTCCTCAGTCGCCATCCCCATCTTTAGATTACTCTGTCCGGTTTTATCCAGACGAAGGCGCTCGAATCTGGCACCGTCAAAGCTGTTCGCATCAATGCCAAATGTGTCCGGATCGGTGGCAATTGCCCCCGTCGCTGCAACTGTCAACGTTCCTTTTGGTACATGATTTCCAGAAACTTTGAAAGTGTACGGTTGAGTCACTATTCTGTTCATTGTTACTGTTCTCATATTAGGCCAGCCACAATGACAAGACTTATTGACACGACTTACAAACAAAGACAGGTGTAAGTCTCTGACTCTCTTTTAGAAAACAGTCCATCTTGAACAGCTTGTCAACGTCAAGAGATCCATCTGGCAGTCGAGAAGTTCTTGCTTCATCGCGTAGATCGTCGATATATTGCGGCTGGCTTAAGAGATCTATCAATGCTACGCTCACTGTCTTGGCTGTAGTGTGGATAGACGCGATAAAGTTTCGCATCATAGTATCGGAGAAGTCTTGCAGCGTAACATCGTCGGGCGCACCACTCCAAAGCCATTCGAACCCAAACTTCCCCTTGCGGTATTCTTCCTTTGGTGTCTTACCTAGCAGATCGCGTTTCTTGAGGTCATTATAGATCGGCTCCATCTTCTCCTTGACGTATCTTCTGCTTGCTCGCAATTTCCTTACGCTTGGCAAGAATGGCGCCACCATCGAAGCAATCAGGGGAGGGTAAGATCGGACATCATCTGCGGACTTGTATCGATTGACAGCGAACTCGGTGGTCTGTCGGATCCATTCTGGGTCGTTGGATAGAGTTTCGTTGACGAGTAAAGTGCTTGTGACAGTTGCAACTGCAGGAACAAAGAAGTCCATAAACTTCATTTTCCCTGTAGAAGATGAAATGTTAGGAAGATGCTTTGCGAAGTATTTATCGATCTCTTCATCAAGTCTTTGCGTAATACTGCTGAGATTCTGGTGGATTCCAATTCGAAGTGGCTTGCCAGACCACGGCCCACGGGGTGGTCCACCAGTATAATCCTGAGCGAAAATGACGGCAGAGGCTAAGGCCCAACTGAAAGTATTGTTTGACAAATGTTTCATTTCTTCCAAGTGGTCTTTGGGGAGCACAACCCGATATTTCACTTTGTATCCGCCAACTGGAATCGCAACTTTGAAAAGTTGTCCATTTTTGCTATATTTTCGGTAGCCGGACTCATACAATGCTTTTGAATCTCTTAAATAGCGTTCTCTCGAGTTGTCTCCATCCTCGAACTCGTGCGTAGGAATGTAGTCCCAAGCCCTAGCATTGAGATAGTTCTGGTAAACATGGTATATCAATAGAGCCAGCGAGATTGGCACCGCCGCTAAGACAGCTATGCTGGGCATGTTGACAATTCTATAATTAGAACAAATATAAAATGAATAGGAAACGAAACTGAAGATGGTTCGGGAAAGTATGGGTTAATGGCATATGGAGGGGTCACTATATTTGAATACCTTCCACAACATGACGTGCAAACTAGTCAATGGTAAGATTACGCATCTGCTTTCACTCAAGCGGACTGGCCTATCCATATGATAGCATTACAAATGCTCTATTGACGTCTAGCCGTGTTATAAATAGCCTGGCACTTAACAGTGTGCTAAACATACCATAACCTCCGAGAATACTAGACGTTCGCTCTTCACTGGCGTTGCCTATTTTGACATCACCGAATTTTTTTGGAAGTTACAGTCCCCAATGCCTTATATCAACTTCGAG